GGGGGACATTATCGCCCACGTTAAGAACCACTGGTTTAAACTACTATACTAAGTTTGACTACTAATTTTCTGTGAATGTGAATCTGCTGTTCAAGGCACAAGCATGGGGCATCCCATAAATTACATTTGCAGTAGGCATGCGGAAATCTTAAATGAGAGCCCTGCCATTAAGCTTTTCAATCTCCCCACTCCCTGTTCTCCTTTCTTTTCCTTAGCAGCTATATTGTATTACAAATTCAGAAGCTGGAATGCTTTGCAAATCTTTGTAAAATGTATACTTCTGGGGAATCTGAGAAGCAAGTCAGAGGTCTTATGGTTTTTTTCCTGTAAGAATCTGCATTGTTTGTTTGCAGGGAGGGAGACAGAGAGAACATGTGCCAATTCAAACATTACAGATAATCCCTCATTAGAAGAGGAAATCCCTTGAATGCTGAGAACATCTGGACCTTTTCATACATCCCAGAGTTTGCAAATGGGCTTTCTTTGTTTTATTACCATTTACTGTTTTATTATTGTTTACTGTGGAATAAACACAGGCTTTGTTTGCAAGTATGATCGCTCACTCACGGAGATCTGCCTGAGTTTTGTCTCTGGGAACACAGATGGATGTAAATTTCTAACAACAGGCTGCCCAACAAAAGTTGGAGGAAAATATTATCCAGATCTCCTTCTCTGTTTTCCTCCTTCTCTCCCTTATCCATCAACCTATCTGGGTGATGGATAAGGGAGAGAAGGAGGAAAACAGAGAAGGAGATCTGGATAATATTTTCCTCCAACTTTTGTCCCTATATTTTAAAAACTTGTGTTCTTTTTTCTCACAGGTCCTGGGCTTTGACCCATTTCCTTCCTGCTCTGCTATGGGGAAGCTGGGAGTTGCCCCCACAGCTTTTCTCTGTCTGCACCTCCTCCTTGTTTTCGTCTTCAGAGAAACACTTGGTCAAAGCAAGCAGACGGAGGGGTAAGGAGAGAAAGCGATGGGGAGGGGAGATGGGGGGTCCCACTTCTGTGGAAGCAGAAGTAAGGGTTAGGGGGTAGTTCTTGGTTCAGTAGCAATACACACACAGGGATTTATTCCTCTGGGGAAATTCTGGAAATGTGGGAACATGTAATGAAACAGAGAACAAGCCAGAAGTGGGAAACTCAGAAAACTATCTGAGGAACTCATTGACAGGAGACCTGCTGGTGGATACAGCATCTGCAACTTAAAAAAAAAAAGTTTACGTATTTGTCAGCGTATAAGACGACTGGGCGTATAAGACGACCCCAACATTTCCACTCAAAATATAGAGTTTGTTATATACTTGCTGTATAAGACTACCCCTCCCTCTGCATTTTACCCCCCCTCCCCCCATAGCGAGGCGTGCCATGGATTGGGGCCCAAGCGACGGTAGGGCTTACCTGAGGTGGGGGGGAAGGTCTTAAAAGATGGTAAATGAAAAGATGGAGGCAGAGTAGCCTTGTCATCTGTTCCCTCTACCCCCTTCTTTACTGTGTATTTTACTCCTATCTGATAGGCCAAAAATTGGGAGGTACAAAAAAATAGAAATAAAAATGGGGAAACCTACATGACCAGAGGAGAAATTCAGGTTGGAGAGAAAGGGATAAAAGATTGAGCACTACCTCCCTCCAAAAATTGTTCTCTACTGAAAATCCATCTCCTGGGTGCTTTTCTTTAGTAATAGTGACTTCTTTAGTCCCTTCTTCACGGCTGAATGTTGTCACATTTTTCCAAAAACTTACACTTTTCGTCCCATCCTTGTTTCCTATCAGGTTGCAGATTTTTTTTTTTTAAATTTCCACTCTGAAACAATTCTGTCCATTTTCCCCTAATGTGAGCACTTTTTCTGGTTTTGGCTTAATGTCTGCATCTATTTACCCTTTTTACCTGATGTCCCCATTCCTGCCATCTGCATAAAGCATATTTGTGCATAGGTGTTTTTTCCCCCAAATGTATCCTTTTTTGTCATTTGTGTACCTTGCTTTGCTTGCTCCTTATTTCGTTAAAATTAACCATGCAGGTGTGTGAGCTCTTGACGTGCGGTGTGTTTCTTCTCGCAATTAATGTTGAGAGCTGTTCCGAGTGAGAATATAGAGTGGTTTGAAATTATATATTGTAGCAGACTTTCCTTGAATCACCTCAGGCCAGGTTACTTACTTGATGAACTAATACAACAAAAAATGCCTTCTTAGTTTTATGTTCTTTCTGATATATCCACAGCCGAGTGTGTGCGCGAAACATGTTGCGCATCCCCTTGACCTACAATGAGACCTACGCCAAGCCCCAGCATCAGCCGTACCTGAAACTGTGCCCTGGACCCCGTGTATGCAGCACCTACAGGTAGATGGAGAGTTTTGTTGTCTAATAGGAAAGAAGGAGAGCGAGCGAGCAGAAGCAGGCAGTGTGTTTTTTCCCTGGCTCCCAAGTTATTTTGGAAGGTACGAAGCTTTAGAGAGCCTGTTATATGAATCAGCCATTCCATACCTGTAAAAAAGTTGTCTGATTACAATCTCACAAGCATTTTCCCATAGCGTGCAAAGTGTGCTTTGTTTTGTGACTGGTCATCAGGAGTTAAACGCCAGGTCAGTTTGCATGAGTCAATTAGGAGAGGACTGTTGCTGGTTAAAACACACGAATGTGTTTCTTTCTTCCAATGACATGTCAACATGAGCATCTGATCTCACCTTGAGGTTAGGGGATGAATTAAGACTTTCATGTCAGGTTGATTCTGAGGTGACTCTGCCCAGATTCACAAGTGTCTCCTTATTTCAGGTGGAAAGAACTTTGTTAAATAGTTGAAGTTGAGAAAAGCCAAATACACCAAGTCCTCCAATAAATTCAGGGCTGTGAAGGCTTAGAAAGGTCTACCTTGGCCAACTTGGGTCCTTTTTAAGGAGAAGAGTGGGATAATAATACTTTAAATGAATTTTAAAAAATAGATTTGAAACTCTCACTCTTAACCACATCAGTGCAACCTTTCAATAGTTAATTATTTTGATTTTCTGAGAAACTCCTCATCTTGGACATCTAAATGACAAGCAACTTGACGATGCTCCACACTGGAAATACAGTGGAACCTTGCTAGATGATTACCCCGCAAAACAATGATGCTCCACACTGGAAATACAGTGGTACCTTGCTAGACGATTACCCCGCAAAACAACAAATCCGCATAACAGTGACTTTTTGTGATTGCTATAGCGATCGCAGAACGATGTTTCCTATGGGGGAATTTTGCTGCATGATGATTTCGTCCATGCTTCGCAGACCGTTTTTCGCAAGATGACAATTTTGACAGCTCGGTCCACGCTTCCCTTGTTCGCTAGATGCCGATTTTACAGCTGATCGGCGGTTCACAAAACCGCTTTCCTATGGGCGATCTTCACTGGACAACGATAATCCTTCCCCTTTGGAACTGCAAAGCCGCTTTGCTATGGGCAATCTTCACTGGACAATGATAATCCTTCCCCATTGGAACACATTAAACGGCGATAATCCTTCCCCTTTGGAACGCATTAAACAGGTTTCAATGCATTTCAATGGGGAAACGCTTTTCGTTAGACGATGTTTTCACAAGACAGCAATTTCAATGGAATGGATTAAGATCGTCTAGCGGGGCACCACTGTAGCTGTATCTATCAAACATGACCTGTGTGGATGGAGGAGAAATTATTTTCAGTTCATTTTTAAATAATATACAAGATGTTTCAGGAGTCTTTGTATCGGAGACAAAAATAACTCAAGGTTTAAAGATCTGTTTGTGGGAGAAAGGGCAAAGCAGAAAAATGTCGCCGTTGTGAACGGATGCATACAGAATCTGGCATAACGCTGCGTCTGAGATTGCAAACTCTTAAATTCAAGTTTCCTCTCAGCCACAAACTCTTTAGATAGTCTAATACAAACCATCATACTTTTTCTTCAGTTCCCCACCATCAACCTCATTATCATCATGGTGCTGTCAAGTCAATTCGACTTATGGCAACCCTCTTCCGTTTTCCAGATAGAGAACACTCAGAAGTGGTTTTATCCTCCCCTTCTTCTGGGGGCAACTCTGGGGCTGTGCATCTTGCCCAAGGCCACCTAGGCTGGCTCTACTTGCGGGGAGGCACAGTGGGAAATCGAACTCCCAAACTCTGGCTGTCTCATCTAGATACTTAACTCGCTAAGCTATCCAGTTGCATAGCAACTATAACAGTTTGTCTCAAATGTTTATTGCTGCCTGAGATCATGTTTCTCAATTCATTAAAGACAAGAAATGCCATTGCTCATTTCCCCTCTGATGTTCAGGTCGTAAGTGCCATTGATTATTCCTTTTAAAAGGAGCTCCACCTGTGTATGAGGAGGACATATAGATATAGTTGGTTTAATCATAATTGTATGCCATTAAGTCAATTCCAAGGACAGATCCTGAAGCTCAGGCTCCAATACTTTGGCCATCTCATGAGAAGAGAAGAATCCTTGGAAAAGACCTTGATGTTAGGAAAGTGTGAAGGCAAGAGGAGAAGGAGACGACAGAGGACGAGATGGTTGGACAGTGTCATCGAAGCGACCAACATGAATTTGACACAACTCCGGGAGGCAGTGGAAGACAGGAGGGCCTGGCGTGCTCTGGTCCATGGGGTCACGAAGAGTCGGACACGACTGAATGACTAAACGAATGAAGTCAATTCCAATGTATAGTGACTCTAGGGTTTTCTAGATGTAGAAGACTCAGAACTGGTTTAGTTTATTTGTCGTGAGTTGCCTTGAGGCAATGTATCCTGGAAGATGACATTAAAAAATTGTAATTGTTTTTATAATTTAGGTTCCTTTTTTTCCCATGCAGTGTTATATCATTCAATTTTATGGTGTTAAGTTTGCTGTCCCTAAACACAGCGGACGGCCATTTTTTTTAACCCGACAGCCATTTTGGAACCACCAAACAGCTGTTTTAAAATCATCACATTTGTGATGATCGGTAAGCGAAACAGGGACCCGATCATCGCAAAGCGAAAAAAACCCATTTAAAACATCGCAATGCGATCGCTTTTGTGATCGCAAAATCTTCGTTGCTATGCGGTTTCATCGCTAAACGGAGCGCCCGTTAAGCGAGGCATCACTGTACAGTAATAATAATTATAGAGGTGGTGGTGAGGGGTCAGGCTCCATTCAGCCGAGCTGGGACCAATGAGGGACAGATAAGGATCCCTGGGTTCTTTTTCTTAGGACTACATACCGGGTTGCCACACGACAGGTGCGGAAGGAGATCCTGCAGGCCAACATCATTTGCTGTCAAGGCTGGAAGAAACGGCATCTAGGGGACACTAAATGTGAGGAAGGTGAGTTGATTTGGATTGTGCCAAGTGGCCACATGTTCTCTTGCAAGGAGGGTGGTCCTCTCTTTGTCTTCCTGTGTTTGCTAGACTAGAGGACGAACCTCCTCTGGAAAGTCTGCTCCATTCAAAAACCTGTCCTGTCCAAGCCCGATTTAAAGGAAGGTGAGGGACTCTGGCTTCCTCGGTCCAGCCTTTGTGGCACCTGGACCATGAATGTCATTTGTCAGAATCTTCCTCCCACTGAGTGGGATGCATTGACATTATTTTTAAATTATAAAAACAATTAGCAACTTTGCCTTTGAAGATTAATATGTCAATGAATATTAATATAGCCAATTTGCACAAAACGGTGTATCCTAAATACAACGCCATTTTGTGCCAATTGACACCCTATTTCATTGTCTTACAGGCCCCTTTTCAATTCAGTTATTGTGTGGTCCTTCTTTGGTGGTCACCCAACACAGAACAACATAGGAGGCTCAACTGTTGTGGAAAGCGAGGCAGCTGCCTCAGGCGGCAGACTTTAGGTGGTGGTGGTAGTGATGGTGAGGTGTTTGAAGAGAGAATCCTGTGTGCTCTATGGCCTGCCAAGGGCCTCCTAGCTGAGCAGGAAGCCTTCGGTATGAATTAAAAGATGATCCTCATCATCACTATTGAAGTGAGGTCAAAATGCTCCTCCTGGTGACTTCTCATTGTGAAATCATCTTAGAAACATCATCCAGAACTACAGAGACCCTATGGATCATCAAGTCTAGCCCCTGTCAAGGAGGCACAGCGATGAGTTGAACCCCCCACCTCTCTGAATTATTGAACTAAGCAAAACATTATTGGGCTAAAATCCACATGTGGATAAAGCAAATGTCAAAACAGGAAATCGAATTTAATCCGGAAATATTTTTGTTAGGATTATTACCAAATACTGTAGATATACAAAGCTATTCTTTAATACTCTATGTTTTGACAGCAGCTCGGTTATTATGGGCACAAGTTTGGAAAGATGAGAATCCACCAAATGATGAAATGATCATTAAAAAAATATTAGAAAGTGCAGAAATGGATAGATTAACTAAGAGGCTAAAGGAACCAGAAGAATCATCTTTTTATTTAAGCTGGAATTTATTTTATAAGTGGTGGAAAGTAAAAATCCCGCAGTAAAGGAACAGAAAATGAATAAAAAATGAAATGTTGTGAATAGAATCTCATCAGAAGAATTATTCCAACATACAAGATTGCTTCTATGTTGAACCTTACACTTTTTTTCTTTTTTTTGCATTTAGATTATCTTTGTTTCGTGAATAGAATCTTATCAGAAGAATTATTCCAATATGCAAGATTGCTTCTATGTTACACTTTTTTTCTTTTTTGCATTTAGATTATCTTTGTTTATTGTTCAACAATCAGAGGTTCTTACATTTTGTTTAAATGCACATTGTGCTATATATCTACATTTTTAAATCTTATGTTGGGAAAAAATAAACTATTGAATTATCCAGCAGTGCAATGATGAAAGGGCCATTTTCTCTGTCATCACGGGTATCTGGAGAGCTCTCAGAGTACTACATAGCCCTCTCCTTTGACTAAACTATTCCCCACCTAGGGCTCTGTGAATTGCTGGGATTCTGGGCCGGATACTTAGTGAATATGGATAAGTTGTGCACCTAAATGTTCAGCCGGACAGAGGTGGCTTACAAAACAGAAGAACGCTCACAGATTTGCATTAGTGAAAAAATGATAATTTTTTTGAAGTTTTAACAATAACAAAATGTGATTAACAAAAATAACAAATTAAAAGAGGTCCACCCTGACCTACGTGATATGCTCTAACTGACAACAACTCCACCAGGTCTCAAAGCAGAAATACAGATGATAAATAGCCCACAACTAGAGCCGAAAGCACATTGGGGAGAAACGTTCAGGCAGGCTTTTGTGCTTGAGAAATCGTACTTCCAAGGAATTGCACAAGAAAGCAAGAAATTGTGCTAATTATACCATGTGCGAAAAGTTCCTGCTATGCACTCAGATGCTGATACAGTTAAGGAATTCCATCTTCTTATGTTGGGTTATGTATATATGGCAGCTGTCAGACTGCAGAGTTTTCTCCTGGCCTGATAAAGTGAAATGTTTTTTTTTAACACTGGGAGTGCCAGGTATTGAACTTCAGGCCTTTCACATGCCAAGCCTCAGACCTGCCACGAAGCTATACAGCATTCCTGGTACAGGAGAACTCTGTCTAGCTTAGCATTTCCCAAAACGTAGATAGCTCAGTCTTGGCCTTCCTTTTGTCTCTCCTCAGCTGTTTGCCACAAACCGTGCCAGAATGGAGGCCTTTGTTTCCGGCCAAATCAGTGCCAGTGCCAGCCAGGTTGGGGCGGACGGTACTGCCACGTTGGTGAGTGGAAGCCAGAAATGCGGGGAGAAGATTTCTTGAGCTCTGCAGTCGTTCCCCCATCTTCTTTCGCTTTCCTTCCCTCCTTCTTACTCCCGTGTGCAAGGCTGATTTTAAAAACATAAGTTTCACTTCTGTTCTGACATGGCCTTGGGCAAAAGAAATATTTCAGGATCCCGATAAAAAGAAAGTGTACACTGCACAAACAGACCATTCAAGTTTCTAGCCCTTAAGGCTGCAGAGGGATGTTTTAAACTTGGCCGACACAGGTTTTCTTTTTTTTAAAAAGTCTCTTTGAGGACATGCAGCCTTTACTAACAGTGTTTGGTGGCTTTGTCCTAGCCACGTAAACCTGGCTGGTGGCTAAATTTGCTAAACGGCCACGATGACCATGAAAATGAGTAGTGACATTAATCCATAGATGCTACTTCTCTCCCTTAAACCTCTCTCTGACCTTGGCAGTCAGGTGTTGGGGGGAATTACACCTTTTAGGGCAGTGGTCCTCAACCTTGGGCCTAAATCTCTCTCTGACCTCTGCAGTCAGGTGTTGGGGGGAAATTACACCTTTTAGGGGATGGGTTTAGCTCCAGAGTTGCCAGTTGCTGACCTCCAACTTTGTTACCTGCGGTATTTTAAAGTACTGTATATATACCCAGCTACAATATCCGTGCCTGATCTCTTACTTCAGATATGAGAGGAACAGCCCATTGGCTAGTACTAGAAAAGAAAATAAATTAACTTCGTTTTGCAAAACCCTAAATCCAACTGAGAGCTGAACCGGAGGCGTTGAGAGTTTCCAGACTCCCTTCGTTCCTTTTTCCGAGCGGTTTTGGATAATTGCAAATGTCACAAACTAATGTTACATGGAGTTAACTGACAGTCTTTTGTTTACCTCATGAAACACAGAACAATGTTTGTATTAAAATAAACATTATAACCAACTAAAATAAGCCTTGGACTGCCTGTGCTCTGAGGAGGGAATACTGACCCTAGCTGCTCCTGCCAGATTAGATTTTGGATTTATTATTTGTTTTTATGAGAACACCCAGAATCCTCCACCTAGCACTGGAGTTTTCATCCCCGAAAGTAACTCTTCTGAGATTGTGCGCTGTCCTTCTGTTGCAAACTGAAAATATTGCTTCTGTTTCTTCCACAAAGTCCCACAAGCAGCCCTGAGGCCTTGTTGGATGCCTGCTCCAGACTTCTTCAAAAAGGTACCGATAACACTTTGGGTTTAATCTGTTTATTAATCATTTGTGTATACATGTGTGTGTGTTTAGTCGTTTAGTCGTGTCCGACTCTTCGTGACCCCATGGACCAGAGCACGCCAGGCCCTCCTGTCTTCTACTGCCTCCCGGAGTTGTGTCAGGTTCATGTTGGTTGCTTCGCAGACACTGTCCAGCCATCTCATCCTCGGTCGTCCCCTTCTCCTCTTGCCATGACACTTTCCCAACATCAGGGTCTTTTCCAGGAGAAGCATGCATACTTCTCCGATATTTAACAGATACTTTTTGGTTAAAACTTGTTTCTGTTACATAATAATACCAGTCAGTGTTTTTATAGTTTTGATTGACTCTGCCTGGTGTTCCCGAATCATCATCATCCTCTTAGAACCGCAGCACTGGAAGGGACCCTGTAGATCATCACGAATCCTCCTCCTCCTCTTAGAACCAGCACTGGAAGGGACCCTGTAGATCATCAAGTCCAACTCCTGTCAAGGAGGCCCAGTGGGGGAAGGACACTCAGTCTGCCCAAACCATTTCGCTATCTAGCCGTTCTTGTTATCGTCATGATTGCCTTCCCAAACTTGCGGCCCACATCCTTCTTTCTGTCTTTGTGTAGATGTGGATGAATGCCGCGCCCCCGTCGCTCTCTGTGAACACCGCTGTGTCAACACTGCGGGGAGCTACCACTGCCAGTGTGACCCTGGCTACGCTCTGGCGCCGGACGGCAGAAGCTGCCACGTCCTTCCCACGGCCCAGGCGGCCCCTATGCTCGGCAGTAAAGGTGAGTCCCATGGTGACTGGCTGCTTTAAGGTGGGAGAAGGCTATTGTAGAGTTCATGTTTTGAATCTTATAATCCCACAATGTCCTGAAAGGTAAGACGGCACCCACTGGTGCAATCAGCCATTATGTGAGTGTTTTGACTGGACAGGATGCTGGCCTGATTGATTAAAGCATTTTGTGTGTGTGTGTGAATGACTTAACATCCACTTAATCAGGTGCACAGAGTACCGTTTTAGAGGTTCAGGCCTTGCGGTGGCCACTGAAGCATCCAGTAGAAAGATCTCTCCCTCAAAGAGCATTTTGCATTCAATTAGCATTTAAGCTGATCTGAGCAAATGTCATCATAATTGCACATAATTACTGTAATTACACATAACTGCATTAAGTTAACATATGCTAACTTGAGCTGATATAATTACAAAACGAAAACGGCTCGCATCCTGTCGTGGAGCAGTTTCTCCTTCCTCAACGCTTATGCGAGGGGAGCGCAGCACCCCCTTGCACGAGCGTAAATCCTGGTTGCTTTCAGCGGAGCAACCTCTGCCTTGCACACCTTCAAGCCAGAGGCTGCTGGAGAGAACACAGAGCACTCTGCCCGCGGAGGCCTTGATGCTCTGTGTTGGCGAACGAAGTTCTAGTCTATGTTAGTGAACTTCAAGCAGAAATGCGATGTGTGTGTTAGGTGCTATCAGTTGAGAACTAACTTGCTGCAATTCAAGGTAAGTGGGATTATTTAAGGAATCTTTTTTAGAGATGGGCAGGAACCATGATGTGGTGGTGTAGCAGCACAGCTCTTCCATGGGCACCCAGATGCCCCTGCCTCTGACTCCTCTGTCAGTTGCCCCTGGCTCTGCCTCCTCGGTCAGGTGCCCCTGCCTCTGACTCCTCTGTCAGTTGCCCCTGGCTCTGCCTCCTCGGTCAGGTGCCCCTGCCTCTGACTCCTCTGTCAGTTGCCCCTGGCTCTGCCTCCTCGGTCAGGTGCCCCTGCCTCTGACTCCTCTGTCAGTTGCCCCTGGCTCTGCCTCCTCGGTCAGGTGCCCCTGCCTCTGACTCCTCTGTCAGTTGCCCCTGGCTCTGCCTCCTCGGTCAGGTGCCCCTGCCTCTGACTCCTCTGTCAGTTGCCCCTGGCTCTGCCTCCTCGGTCAGGTGCCCCTGCCTCTGACTCCTCTGTCAGTTGCCCCTGGCTCTGCCTCCTCGGTCAGGTGCCCCTGCCTCTGACTCCTCTGTCAGTTGCCCCTGGCTCTGCCTCCTCTGTCAGGTGCCCCTGGCTCTGACTCCTCTGTCAGGTGCCCAATCAAAGGCAGCACCCAGAAGAGGCAGGGCTGGGCAGCTGTGCCCCTGTTTCTCAATTGGTCCCCCCCGCCAGAGGAGGTGGGGCAAGGGAAGCCAGGGCTCCCCCAGAACAGCTGTGCTGCCATACTGCTGAGCCAGGGTTTCTGTTCGTCAGTATCACAGAATCATAGAAAAGTGATGTTGGCTCTGTCAGGTGCCCAATCAAAGGCAGCACCCAGAAGAGGCAGGGCTGGGCAGCTGTGCCCCTGTTTCTCAATTGGTCCCCCCCGCCAGAGGAGGTGGGGCAAGGGAAGCCAGGGCTCCCCCAGAACAGCTGTGCTGCCATACTGCTGAGCCAGGGTTTCTGTTCGTCAGTATCACAGAATCATAGAAAAGTGATGTTGGAAGGGGCCTACAAGGTCATCAAGTTCAACCCCCTGCTCAGTGCAGGAATACCATCAAAGCATATCTGCCAGGGGATAATCTAAATTTTTCTTGAATGCTTCCAGGGTTGGAGCACTCACCAACTCCCGAGGTCACTGGTCCCAACTGTCATACTGCTCTAACAGGAAGTTTTTCCTGAGATTCAGTATCAGAAATTGTTTTAATTCATTCATTTTTATATACCACCCATCCAGCACAAATTAAACATACTGTTATAAAATAATGCAAAAATAATAGCATTCTCTATCAAGAAAACCCTGAAAAGGGTCACCATGTATCAGAAATTTATTTATTTATTTATTTATTAGATGTATATACTGCCCATCTAGAACGTGTCTACTCTGCGTGGTAGAATTGACTTGATAGTACACTATTATTATTTGTTTCCCAGTTCCGCCCACCCCGAGGGTTTCCGTGGCTGAACAGGGGTTTGAACCCAACTCTCCTGAGCCCTTGTCTGTCACGTTCTCCACTACACCACGTTGATTATCAGAAACATAACACTCTGTCCTTGTACAATAGAGAGGCCAGAACTTGTGGGCAAGTGTGGCTTGTGTGGGACTTGTTTGCAAACCGGAGCTACTACATCTAGCGCTGGTTCTTAAAGTTCCTGAACAGATATAACTTGCATATATGCCTCCCCTGTTCATACCCTTTTCTCCCTCCCTCACAATCCTCCTCTCCCAGTGCAAACTTTGGGGATTCAGGAGACGATTCCCAATGAGATCCAGGAGCTTCAGGCCAAAGTGGAGCAGCTGGAAGAGGTGAGATCCTGTCCCAAAAGCCTATATATGAGGCTAGCCATTAGGGAAGGATATTTTGGAGGGTGGGGTGGGTTTAGTTTACAAATCTCATAATTTTCCATTCCGGGAGTTCTACCTGACAGACAGAAACGGGAAGGCTTTCCCCTGGGGCAGCTTCCTTTCTGAACAGGAAGTTTGGGCAGAGCTAGGCCTAGCCGGGCCCTCGAACCCCCCCCCCCAGCCTAGGCCTTGCTCCCAGGTGAGCCACATTTAGGTATCTGTAAGGTGTCGGTCTGTCAGGGAGAACTCTCAGGATGGAGAATGATGGGATTTGTGGCCCAAAAGAACCTGAAAAATCTCATCCCAAGTGGTCATCTCTGGAGGGGGCGGGGTGGGAAGGAGGGTGCTGAACAGCCAGACATTTGTGGTTCCACGGCCATTTCCAAAAACGTACCTTTTCCCTTTTTTTGGGAAATTCTCAGAGCTGGTAGCCATGGCGACCGGCCTAGTAGAAAAGCTCTATAGTTCAGAAAATGAACCTTTCCAACCGGTGCCATTTACAGCAATGAGGGATTGCTGTTGTTTTATAAGAGAACCTAGAAAGGTTTTTTTAAAAAATACACCTCTTCATATCAGCTGGGGGATTCTGAGAGTCGTAGTCCAAAAAAAAGAGATGGTGTACAGGTTCTGACAACACTTCACAAAGCCAGGCAGAGATGGCGGATGTACCCATAAGCACTGCCCATTGTGTCTTTCTTCAACTCTGAGATACAGAGGCAGACTATTAACTCTCAACCCATGGCCATGCTGGCTGGTGGAGGATGGGAGTTGTAGTGAACCACCACCAGTAAAGGGCATCCAGAGGAAGAAAGGTGGTGTACAATCAAAGCCATTCCTATGAAAGAATGAAGTCCATTGAACACCCTCTCTGGATTTGCAGACATTTAGTGTGCTCTGGGGGAGAGGAGGGGGTTGAAAAGTTACCTGTTTTTTGGCGGACAACTCCCCATGTTGTCCGGGAAGCCTAGCAGGGAAAAAAAGTAACATTTTCCTGCTTGGAAGGGTTGGGCAGTGGGAGAATGTGGCCAGTTGGTGGGCAAGAACTGGATCTTTTTCTCCCACCCCGCCTCTTTTGCCCATAGCGCCTGGAGCGCGCCATCTCTGTCTTGCCGCCCCCGCTGGAACCCACTCAGCTGAAAGAGCTCTGGAATCGCCTCCGCTATTTGGACCAGGTGGAATCGCTCAGCGACCAGCTCCTTTTCCTTGAAGAGAAACTGGGAGACTGTGAGTAGAGGGAAGGCCACGCGTACCACCCTTCCCTGCTTACAGATACATATATGATTGACACAGACACCACCTCTCCCTTCTCCATCTTTCATCGTGGGATGTTGGCCACTGTGGTAGCTGTGTGTTAACTTTGTAGGGAACTGTCAAGGTTCAAGATGGTGGTTGCTCACCGTGGGTCCCCAAAATGTTCTTGGACTACCTCTCCCAGAAATCTTGGCCAGCACAGTGAGTGGGGAAAGGCTTCTGGGAGTTTGAGTCCAATAACACGTGGCTCCGAAAGGCAGTTCAACCTTAGTGGTTAAACTCTTGGACAGGGGCTCAGAGGGTCTTCTGTGAGCTGTGGCACTCCCTTGGTGACTCACCTCTCACCTGGCCCCTTGACCCTCTTTTGTGCGGGGGGGTGGTGAGAAGAAAAGAACTATTTGCCCAGCTATGTACTCCCCGGAAGAAAGACAGGACAGAGATGTAACCAAGGACCAGATACATCAGCCCCAATCCAGCCAGATCAATGGGATGAGGGAGATGATTACCCCTGGGATAGAAATGCAGGTGTTCACCCAGATGTGCTGGGTGGATTGGGAAAACGACATGGTAAGACTTCAAATCCAAGAATCCCCAACCAGCCTGCCAAGGCCTTTTGTCTGAGGGAGAGAATTGTAATCCACAAAAGCTCATCATGAGATGAAGGTGTGATAAGACTTTTTTTTTGGGGGGGGGTTATACAAAAAAAGTAACTTTCTAAAGTCTAGTTTCAGAGGGACTTTCTGCACTCCCTGAACCTCGTCTTTGCCTTCTGTGCCCCCATCCTCAGGTGCTTGCCAGAATGGTAAAAACGGCTTTGGTTACGACATCGCCCGGTGATGCCTGCCCACATCCTGCATTTAACCTGGAGATTCGTGGGCCACCCGTCTGTCTCCTGACTCTCTTTCCTCCCAGAGTTCACGGCTGCAGTCTTTGAAGCTCAAGTTAACGCCTCTTCCTTTATTCGTGCCATTCAGAACATATCACTAATTAAAATTTAAAAAAATTGTATGTAGCTCCATTGGGGTGGGGAGATGTACTCATTTAATGAATGTTGCAATTGCTGAAAGCAAGCTTTTGGATTACACAGGAGTCTTCTTGTGAGATTCAAAGCCAATACAGTACAAATGTCATGGTCCATAATTCAGCCAAAGTTCTGCACTGTTATGCCCACTAGTTTTCAATGGGAAAGATTAGCAATGCAATCCAACATGTTTACTCACAGTAGTAACCCCTATTGTATATAATACAGAGCCTGGAAATTTTACATTTTTGACTTCAACTCCAAGAACTCCCCAAGTGTTAAATAGTAACTTTCTTCCAACTTGTGATGCTCAAAATGAGACCTAAAGGTGCTAAATGGTAGGTGAATTGTGGCCAGTTTTGTGTAGTCCTATGACTTGCCTAGACTGTTATTTTCAAAGCAAAGCAAACTGCACTGCTTATATACCACCCCGTAGCACTTAAACCTCTCTCTGGGCAATGGACAACGCTTGTCAGGATCAAACTCAGGTTGTGAACAGAGTCTTCCCTGCAGTACTGCAGTTTAGCCACTTTACCACAGGGCTCCCTTTAACTAGTCCAGACATTGCTTTGCTCCCTGCAACTTCCCTGCAGCCATCTATGGTTTATTAGCTGAAATGTAAATACTAATTTATATTTGTATTACGGCCTTTCCCCCCAGATGGTGCTGTTCTTTCATCACTTGATTTCTGCAAGTTTTGTACATTTCACTAGTTCCTCAGAGGTAGCCAGACGGCCTAATTCAACTCAATACAGTACGGACAGTTTCTCGTTAACCCCTTTGCTTTGAAAAGCACTTTTTTATTAACCCAGTTATTACTACATGCTACAATTGATATTTTCTGCATTGATTAATTTCGATTTGAACTTACCCCGAAAGGAGCTTGCCTGTAACGTTCCCTATCATACATATGTAATACATGGAAGGTGTTCCTGCCGGCCTTCGTGATCATTTTGTCCATGTCGTGGGCTAAATTCAACTGTTAATTCCCAGGCGGAGGAAACCTACTGAATCAGTAAGTGTTGACCTACCCAACCCATAATTTTTGCCAAAGAGAAATTGCCCCATTAGGTATAAACATCTCGTTCACTGCTGCCACTCAAGAGCCAGCGTGCTGCATAGTGACTGATGATATAATTCATCTTTCTCTCTTAAGTTTTGGAAAACAAAAATAAAAACAGCCAGCAGTAACTGATATGCATGTAATATAGACTAAAACCTTTAACATTTGGGTTTCCTTTATCTTAGCGCAGGGATGGACAAAGGGAAAGTGTGTTCCTTCAGGTGCTGTTGGACTACAACTCCCATTGACCCTCCCCAGTGGCTGTGCTCAGCAAGGCTGATGGGAACTGCACTACCAGCTAGAGAGCCATCATTTTCATACGTCAGAGTCAGCCTGTCAGGCTAAGGACAAGGCTGATGGGAACTGCAGTACCAGCTAGAGAGCCATCATACGTCAGAGTCAGCCTGTCAGGCTAAGAGAGCACAGCTCAAAAGTCTGAATCCTGACTCTCAAGGAGTAAACTTGGCCCAATCGGTATCTCTTAGCTTAAACTACCAAACCGGGGTGGGGGGGGATCGGTCTGAAAATAAATCCAGGCAGGGTGCCTGTAGGAAAATTAAAAGCAGGTGAATCACACCCGGGTTCCTTGGAGGAAAAAGTGGAATATAAATGTAATAAAGCTCACCCTAGAATCAGCACGAAGTACCATTTGTGGTTAAGAAAGAGAGCGAAGCTTTTGGTGGTTGTTGTGCGACTGCGTAACGGTTCTCACAGCTGCTTTCTCTTGTAAACTGGAGCTGTCTTTTAAAAATAAAAAAGTTCATGGTTCATATTCTTCCCCCAAACAGGCTGCAGGTGGTGGTGTTTTGTTTTACAAGACAAGTGAAACCAGCAGTAATTTCCACTTCTCACACTACGTAACAGGCTGACACAAAAGGGTGCATAGGGAAGTGAAAGAACTCACTGCCACAAGACTAGAGGCAGGAAAATTACCTTTCTGTACTACCATTCCCAGATTTGAAGGATTCTAGGAATTGTTATTTTAAAAATTCCTTTTCAAACTCTGTAAAAGACTCCAGGACAGTGGTGGTTAGAGAAACTGAGGACATTAAAACTATCTGTGGTCACTAGTCAGAAGAAGAAAGGTAAAGGTTCCCCTTGACAATTTTTGTCCAATCGTGTTCGACTCTAGGGGGCGGTGCTCATCCCCATTTCCAAGCCATAGAGCCAGCGTTTTTGTCCGAAGACAATTGAAGGATTCTAGGAATTGTTATTTTAAAAATTCCTTTTCAAACTCTGTAAAAGACTCCAGGACAGTGGTGGTTAGAGAAACTGAGGACATTAAAACTATCTGTGGCCACTAGTCAGAAGAAGAAATAAGCTACAATTAAGTTTGGAGATGTGTGCATAGCAGCTGCTGCGGAACATGGGTGTGAGGATGCTGTTCCTCTCCTCTCCAGGTAGTGGGTCTCTTCCCAGAGGCTTCTGGCTGGCTGTTGTGAGAAACAGAACTATGGACTAGAGAGGCCTCTGGTTTGACCCAGCAGGGTGCTGGATCCAGCAGGATCCATGCTACGCAGCGTAGCAGGGCCAGGAATCACAGGGTCAAAGCCCCAGGACTTACTGAGTAGCAGGGCTATAGCATAATTTGTCACCCTCCCCCCAGGCTTTCCTATTCTGAGTTTAGCTGCAATGCAATCTGTCACCACAGCTGGAAGAGAAACAGATTTTTCCTGGGAACAGAATAGGGCACCAACCTTGCCCTGCTGTAATACTACGTATTTGAGGGTGGTTTGATCTTGAAAGGGCAACTAAGAACCCTTAACTTTACAAAACACCTGTTCCTCATTGGATGATACTGACAGATCCAGCCACCTCCATTTTTTGGGGGGGATTCTTCTTATGGGGGAGTGTCATGATGATATCCGATTATTCCAGATTAACCACTATGTCCCCTGCTTATTACCAATGGTGTTGGACAGGATTTGGTCCTCCAATTGTCTTGTCTTACAACTTTGAGATCATCTGGAAAGACCCAGGTTCCTCACCTTGGTTTCCTAAACCATGACACTAAATACAAACTGCTAGCTGACACACATCTGGATCCGGACAGCTGGAAGAAGATCTTGATTCTGCTAACTGCAAAAGTGAAGCCCCATAAAACTTCTCTCCTAGCACTTTCTGGCCACCTCTTGCCCAGAATCCCCCCCCCCAATCACTGAAGAGAGAGAAGTGACGGATCACTGTGTTTCCACACACGCACACACACTTTCTGGTACAGAGGCTAAAGAGGAGGAAAACACAATGGAAGGAGACTTGTTTGAGGGTCTTTATTAAAAGCAGGAAGGTCTTAGGAACATGGGCCTGGTGATGCCCCTTCAAATCCTCATTCTCTTCCCCCCCCGCCCGCCTCCACCTTGCCCTGCATCAAAATTCTCCATTTCTCTCCCCCAAGGAAGAATCCCTTGGGGGGAAGGAGAGAGGCGATCAGGTCTCCAAACAGCCAGAGGTATCAAGGGGAAATTCCCCCAAGGCAGAAGAGGAGCAGAGACAGTTCCCGTCCTCCCCAAAACGAGGAATACTTGGCAAAACCACAACGTTCTGCGCCACTCGGACAAGAAGAGTCTTGCTTTCCAAGTGCTCCTGACTCCTCCCCATCACCAATCCGTGTCTCCTCTCTTTCTGCTCTGAAGGTCGGCTGCCAGCTGCTTCTTTCCTCCTCAAAATCCAAGCCCACCCACCCCTTCTAGTCCCGATCTCCTGTCCCCATAAATAGTGACTTTGGCGCTCGCTCGCTCTCTGCCCCTTCTCAATAGGGGCTCAGAGGAAGGCCGGGCACCTAGCAGCTTCCACTACTTCCCCCTCCATCTTCAGACTTGGCCATTCCAGGCTCCCCACCCCTCACCCCAAACCCAGCAAAAAAGAGCCAGGCAGCTTGCCCCCCGGGGCCACCAACACAATATGGTCAACCCCTGTCCATGATGCTCCATTACAGATTTGGCCTAAGGAATCCTGCTTTCTTTCTCACCCACCCCACGCATGCCACTTATCCTTTCCATCCCTGGTCTTCTCTAGGTCAGGCCCACTCCCCCTGCCTCTTCCCTTTTCCGACAGTGGGATGATGGAGGTTGTAGTCCAAGACTTCTAGAGGGGCCTGGGTTAAAGAGGGCTTCCTACCGTCTTCCAAACGTGTCCGCCTTCCTAACTGTCTACCTTCTGTTGTCTACCAAAGGTGGACTATGCAGGCAACAGGGAGAGCGAGAAAGAGACAGGATCTTTCCCCACCGTCTTCCTTGCAGACGGCTACCTTGATCCGGCTCACGTTGGCCTTACGGGGCATCCTTCCTCACCAAGCTATTTTACTGGCACTACGCAGGGTGGAGCAGAGGCAGGTGGACCTCAAAAGGCATGGCTGGCAAGCAAAAGAGACGGGTCATTTCACATTTCATTTCCCCCTTTTTAAGGATCCATAATTGTTCTTTTCCTCAATCCAAGTTCTTCGTCATGTCCAAAAAAAAAAGAAAAAGAGAGAGAGAGAGAGAGAGAGAGTCACACACATTTACCCCCTTTCTCACCCATCCAGGGAAGGGCCAGCATCTAGGCAAACCCATGTCCCTTTCGGCTCCCCCACCCCAGGCCACCCCACCCTCTCTGCTCATCCCCTTTGCAGAGGGAGGCGGTCCGTGGTCCGTGCTTATATCCAAGTTTGAGCAGGCTTTCCAGCACACACCACCAACAAATATCAACCCCTTCCGAGGTCCGGATGCCTGGAGTCTGCGGTTGCCTCTTCTTCCCCCTCAGGGCGGCCACAGGGATATTTTTTATTTTTATTTTGCCCGCCCCACTCTGGCCATACAGACCACAGGGCAGTGCATTCCTCCGTTGGGATGAAAGGCCGGCGGGGGATTAAGAGGATGCTGGTCTGCCTTGTTGCCCTTCACATTCTGAAGTTCACAGTATCTTCTGCACTCCCATCACACTCCCTCTTCCGCACACACACACACACGCACACACGCACACACACAAAGGCAAGGGGTGGGTCTGCTGCACAACGCTTCAGGATTCAAGGAGTGCTTCATTTTTAACCCCTTCTCGGGGCCCAAGGGCTCCCCTTGGCAAGGGGTGGGTCTGGTGCACAACGCTTCAGGAGTCAAGGAGTGCTTCATTTTTCCCCCCCTTCTCGGGGCCCAAGGGCTCCCCTTGTCATACAATCTCTCTCAGTGGTTGAGTCCAAGAAGCTCAAGTGGAAACCGTTCACATCAACCAGAAAAGGAGGCAGGAAATAGCCCCGGAAGGACTGTGCCACCTATGAGGGCAGAGGGGTGCAGGCGGGGAGAGAGGAGAGGAGAGAATTCTGGTCCAAAATTCGGGATGACTGGGATCAACTCTGCTCACCCGGCTCCATATGTATGTGTTTGTGTTTGTCCAAGTGTCTATGTTAAGCCCCACCCACCCCTGTTGCAAATTCATTGCCGCCGCCGCCGCCATCATCATCATCATCATCATCATCATCATCATCATCATCATCATCATCATCATCATCATCATCATCATCATCATCATCTCCTCCATGGCATGGCTCTTCTTGCGTTGCTGCCTTTGCCGCTCCTGTACTTTGCTGTTGGGATGAGGCGCCGCCCTCGTCCGCGCCGGCCCCACTTCAGTGGCCGCCTGTGGGCATCCGCTGGTCCCAGTCTCTGCTCCCACCCTGACGCTCTCTCGGGCCGGCCATCGGGGAAAGAAGTGGGAGGAGGAAGGGGGGGTCACTGCGGGGCACCCAGCTCCACGGAGAGCCCCTCAAAGGCAATGAGCATGGCCTGGCGCACACGATCCGTCAAGGCTGGCACGTCGTCGGCGCTCAGCCCCTTCGTGGGCACAGAAGGCAAAATCTGCACCGTGCAGCGCCCTGCAGAGCAAGAGGGGTGGGCAGGAAGGAGGCCGCCGTGGCCAGGGAGAACAGGGAAGGGAAGGGGGGGAGGAGGAGAAAGCGAGAGGTGGAGAGAAAGATGAAATGTGGGCATTAAGAAGAAAGAGGGGGGACTAAAGGCTGAGGAAAAAAACTTGTCCAATGCAATAGGACCATGGTTATCTGCAGGGAATGGGTTCCAAGATCACTTCCACCCCACTGCAGATGCTTAAAAATGGATGCTGTACATGGTCTTTGGCTCGCTCTAGTGATCAGGTATGGTAAATACACCCTGGAAATATATATGCACCGTATTTTCCATGTATAAGACGCCCCTCTCCTAACCCAAAATTAAGAATTCTAAACGGGACTTAGCAAATGGAGGGGGAAGGCAGGAATCAAAGTGCTTTAGTGATTCCTGCTTTCCCCCTTCACTTTATTGTGAAGAAAGTTCTTCCCCCTCCACTTTATTCGCAAGAAAGTTGAGTGGGAAAGCAGAAAGTGGAGGGGGAAAGCACTTTGTTCACAAGCAAGTGTAGGGGGAAAGCAGGAATCAAAGAGCTTTCATCCCTTCTCCCCTCCTTACTTCCGTGTATAAGACGACCCTCAATTTTTAATCTAAATATTTTAGACAAAAGTATTGTCTTATACATGGAAAAATACGGTAAATACATATTTCAAGGGTTTTTAATTTATTAATTTTTATTAATACTCTATCACACTATGTAAACCACCCAGAGTAGCCTGGGCAACCCAGGCCACTCTGGGCAGTTTACATAGTGCAATAGAACAGAGTATAAAAACAAAACAAAACAATACTAGGACAGTAATATAAATTAATTGATACAATACAGACAAACGAAAATAATATCAGTAAACATTAAAATAAAAATAAAGGATGGCGGGGGTTGAACATCAGCTGTTGTATCAAGGTATAGTAGAGTCTGGGAAGGCCTGTCTAAATAAAAATGTTTTTAATGATTGCTTAAAAGTTCCCAGTGAAGGCACCAGGCGGATTTCAGGTGGGAGAGCATTCCACAGTTGGGGGGCTAACACCGAAAATGCCAGAGTTCTGGTCACTGATTTATAAGAGTCTCTCAGGGTCAAAACTCTCAACCGCCCAACCTGGGAAAATTTTACAGGAGGAGCAGATCTGGTCAGAAGGAGGCATTCTGCCAGATAACGAGGTCCCAAACCATTTAGGGCTTTGCATATTAACACCATTACCTTGAAGCTGGCATGGAAACAAACAGGTAGCCAACGCAGATCGGCCAGGATGGGGAGATCTGTTGATGTCTCCTCACCCCACTGAGTAATCTGGCAGCCGAGTTCTAGACCTGCTGAAGTCTCCATGACAGGACCAAGGGCAGCCCCACATAGAGAGCATTGCAGTAGTCTAATCTTGAGACTACCAGTGCATGAACCGCCATGGTGAGCAACCCGGTGTCTAGGCAGCTGAGAGATCTGCCTTAGATGGAAGTAGGCAGTGCAGACTACAGAGGCATCTGAGATTCCATTGACAGCGCTGGGTCCAAAAGTACGCCCAAGTTGAGCACCTCATCCTTTGCAGAAAGAGAACCCCCCACAGAAAAAAAAGGGAAGCACCCAGACCACAGACACTAGGGCCCCACCCGCAGGATTTCTGTCTTGTCTGGGTTCAGCCTCAGTCTATTATCCTTCATCCACTGCAGTACGACGTCCAGGCAGCTCTCAAGGGACGAGACGGCATCCACTGCAGAGCGATGGAAGGAGAGATAGAGCTGGGTGTGATCTACGTATTGGTGACACGAAGCTCCAAAACTCCTGATGACCTTCCCTCATATATATGTTAAATAGCCCTGGAGAGAATATCGAATCTTGTGGGGCTCCACAGTCGAGAGTCCACAGAGTGAACAACATCTCCCCAAGCTACACTCTCTGACGACGGTCCCTCCAGGAAGGACCAGAGCCAGGCTAAGGCCTGACCTCTGACCCCTATCCTGGAAAGCCTCCACAGGAGGATACCGTGGTCAGCGGTATCAAAGGCTGCTGATAGGTCAGGAAGGACCAACAAGGACGTTTTGCCCGTCAGTCTTCCTCAAAAGGTCATCTTGTAGGGCAACCAATGCCGTCTCCGTGCCATGACGTGGCCTGAATCCAGACTGGAATGGGTCGAGGGCATTGGTCTCCTCCAGAAGCACTTGAAGCTGATCGGCCACCACTCTCTCCACCAGCATGCTCATAAAAGGGGCATTGGTAACGGGTCTATAGTTGTTTAATTACAATTTAATTACAATTTACAATGAGCCTCGTGGCGCAGTGGTTAAAACGCTGTACTGCAGCTAAAACTGTGCTCACAACCTGGGGTTCAAATCCCAGGTAGCCAGCTCAAGGTTGACTCAGCCTTCCATCCTTCCGAGGTCGGTAAAATGAGTACCCAGCTTGCTGGGGAGGGGGGGCAATGTGTAGCCTGTATAATTAAAAATTGTAAACCACCCGGAGAGTGCTTGTAGCGCTATGGGGCGGTATATAAATAAATAAATAAATAATAAATACCTGGACCTGACCCGGGGAGGATAGAGGAGGAGTTGCAGGAATCAACAGTGAAAGAGACTGGGACCGTTTTGGCGGGAACAGAAAGAAAACCGCGGGTAGTATTGGAGGCAGGATTAGCAGACATAAAAGCAGGTGAAGGAGGGCTTCCACCAGGCTGGGAATGAATGTGGGTAGAAGATCCCTGGACTGGAAAGGTGGAGAAGCTAAGAGTCCCAAAAGAGGAGGCCGATGCCAGGAGGAGGAGGGAAAGCACCCCTAAGCCATCGTACTGGGGAGAAAGGGAGACAAAGGAGTGGCTGAGAAAAATGAGGGGGGAGAAAGAGAAGGTTGAAAGAGAAAGAAGGGAGAGATTGGAATGGAGACTCTGGGAGAAATGCCTGCGCAGCGAAAGATCCGCCCTAAAGCACAGCCAGGAGCCATTTTACACAGCGGGCATTCATTTTGAAACCCGACAATCAGATGTTTTAATCCTCGTAAAGCGAAGAAACGGTTCCCAAAGCAGGGAACCAATAGTCGGGAAGTGAATTTTGCACATTGAAACATTTTGCGATTGCAAAAACCTTATCATCAAGCGGATCCGTCGTTTAACGAGGTAATCGTTAAGCGAGGCAACACTGTATAGCTATACAACAAGGTGGGGAAAGCCACGTTTTTCTCTTAAGTCAGCCATGGGGCCACCTAAGTATCCCTAAAGCTGTTTTTGTGGCTCCTGGCACATTCCTGTCCCCCTCATTTTCTCTCACAGCACAACCAATGAACTGGTAATGGCACCTTAAAGAGTATTAAAGAGTTTCAGCTGGCATAAATGTATTCCGCACAGAAACAAATACACACTATGTTCCAAGCAAGCTTATGCCAAAGAAAACATTTTAGTTTTTATGGTGGCACAAGATTCTTTGTCCATGTTGCAGGTATTCTTTCAAAAGACAAAAGGAGTGTATTTTCATCCTCAGTAAAAATGTACAGAAGTGGCTGGATCGCTTTATTGAGCTGGAGCGCCTGACTGCAGAGACAATGGTTCAGAGTTCGATTCCCCCACTGGGCCTTACAGGAGAATAATTAGCCTCTTTAGCCTTTGGCAAACTGCAGAGTCCATGGGAGAAGGGACTGGCTGAATCACTTGTAAGCACTCTACACCAAGGAAACCTTGGAAAGGGTTGCCCTAAGTTGGAACTGACTGGCCAACAAACAATAATGGACAACGCACTGAGTGTGTGCTCTCCACATTCAAGGCGCTACGGTTTCAGTCCTGGAATCTTCAGTTTAAAACAACGGGGGATTGTGGCCTGGTTACACGGGTTTCCCTTGCTCAATGGAAACCACTGCTCACGCCATGGCAATGCTTGAGTACTTGTGGGAGTGCGGTGGGGCTGGACGCTTGTGACTCCAGTTCCGCTGCAGCCATGAACCTGCTCCAGCTTTTAATCTGAACTTTAACGGAGCTCTCCAGAGTGCTGAAACTGTTTTGTAGGTGGAGCAGCTGCACTGTGGATAGCTCACAAAAAGTGTGGAGTTAAATCCTGAGTGGACTTTACAGCTGCTCCCTGTAAGCAAAGGCTGTTCTTCTGAACAGCAGAATCGTCCCTATGCATGATTAACAGCACTTGGAATTAACCAGCTAAATTTAATCGTTCATATCTAGTTACACCCTTTAACCAATGGGGTTCAGGACCTAATAAAACTAGGTATTCAGTGCCAAGGCTTTGAAATAATTTGTCAATCTGTCAGCAAGTTCTCCTCTTTCCTCCTACACATCTTAATTAAAATAGTTGCCAACTAAAGGCACCCTCTCCTCCTGGAGTGGAAAGAGAGAGAGGCTTAAACCTCTCATCCTGTTTATGCAATCCTGTGGCTCGTGAGCCCTTCCTGGATGCAATTAGAGAGAAGATCCAAACACTGAACTCACCAGTGGTAAAGCGCCTTTCCTTCTTACTGTAAAAATCTCGATACGACGAGATTACGACTGGAACAACAGGAACCTGGGGGGGGGAGCAGGAGAAGGAAACAGAAGCTATTTATAAAAAGTATAAAATGCACAACAAACAAAACAAGGAACACTTCCCTTGTCGCTCAGGACTGCGAAGATGATGGCCATAAAACCCTAAACCTTTTATGTTGAAATGGCTCAAAATGCCATTAATAACTGTCTTCTGGCCACAGTGCTTAAATTGCAGTACCGCAATCAAAGAAGACTCAGTTCATGTCTTCAGTTCAATCCCCGCAGCTTCAGGTAGCCGGCTCAAGGTTGACTCAGCCTTCCATCCTTCCAAGGTCAGTAAAATGAATACCCAGCTCACAGGGCGGGGGAAAATATATAGCCTGCATAATTAACTTGTAAACTGCCCAGAGAGTGTTTTAAGCTCTATGAGATGGTATATAAGCAGCACATTTTGCTTTTGCTTTTAAAGGTACCAGGGTTTAAATCTGCATCCAAGAAGAGGTAGTAGATGTTTCCTGTAGACAATAGAAAATGGCATCAAACTCATGCCCCCAGGGAAAAAAAAGATAAAAAAAAGAGTCAAAGCACCCTATGAAATCAGATAAAGCAGGATGAAGGGCGTCGAGGTCGGTGGTTCTCAACCTTTGGCTGTTTGGGACTTCAGCTCCCAGATGCCTTTCCTGGAATGACCATTTTAACTATTATCACATGTGTAATTGCTTTTAAAGTTTTAATTAATCACGATACCGAGAGAAAGCTGAAACTATTATTGTAAAGGTAAAGGTTCCCCTTGACAATTTTTGTCCAGTCGTGTTCGACTCTAGGGGGCGGTGCTCATCCCCATTTCCAAGCCGTAGAGCCAGCGTTTTGTCCGAAGACAATCTTCCGTGGTCACATGGCCAGTGCGACTTAGACACGGAACGCTGTTACCTTCCCACCGAGGTGGTCCCTATTTATCTACTCGCATTTGCATGCTTTCGAACCGCTAGGTTGGCGGGAGTTGGGACAGGCGACGAGTACTCATTCCATCGCGTGGATTCGATCTTACGACTACTTGGTCTTCTGACCCTGCAGCACAGGCTTCTGCCGTTTAGCCCGCAGAGCCACCACGTCCCTTATTATTGTAAGACTGATCAGTTAATTAGTAACTGATAGTACATTCAGAGGAAAACCAGGTCTCGGGAGAATTCGACCCCGAAGCATTCACAGATAACCCTTGCGGAGGCATGGGAACATGCACGAGCAAGGCACCCCCGGTAAGTGGGACTCTCCTTGGCTGTGTTCTGGATAACTGGAGAGAGCTCGTGGGCAGGCGATCTGGGCTTACGAAGAGGCACATGATCAAATTATACACTCAAATTTGGCCTACTGCAGTTACTTTCTTTTTTAAAGTTAGTCCCTCCGAGAAGACCAAGAACCTGTATGGTTCTATGGATTATGTAGCTCCCCCACCGACACCGAAGCTGCAAGAATATTATAAAGTTTTAGTGGCAGCTGTTAACAAATACACTGGTGCCTCGCAAGACGATATTAATTCGTTCCACGAAAATCGCTGTCTTGTGAAAACATCGTTTTGCAAAATGCAGTTCCCCATTGGAATGCATTGAAATCCATTTAATGTGTTCCAATGGGGTGGGGGAAATCATTGTCTTGCGAAAATTGCCGGGGAATCATCGTCTTGTGAAAACTGCCCATAGGAAAAACCATTTTGCAAAGCACGGACCCAGCTGTCAAAATTGCTGTCTTCTTAAACATTGTCTAGTGAAAATCTCCAGTAGGGAAAACTGTTTTGCGAAGCGCTATAGCGATCACAAAAAAA